ACAAAAAGTTTATATACATGTAAAATATTAGATGGTGGATCAAAACCAAGGTATAATTGCATTAATAATTAGTTATAATTATAATTAATTATAACTATAATATATATATAAAATATTTTGTATTATAGATTTGAAATTGTATCTGATAATGATCTAGATCAACCATTGGTTGGATCTACTCCTGATGAATGTCATTCTAAACTATTAATGGCAATTTCTCCTGCACTTCGTTCAATAACACCAAAAGGAGCTGATTTTTTTGGAATTTCACATCCTACTATACAAAATCTTATTCAAAGCACACCTGGAACTCGTAAATTAGCTATGTACAAACAACAACGTTTCGAAGTATATAATTATTTATATTATTCATTAATATCATAATTTCATTTATAATTAAAATAATAAATTGATAAAATAATAACTTTAACTAACAAATATAGGTAAGCAAAAATCAACCAATAGAAAGAGGAACAAGTCCAGTAATGGAAGAAGAAACAGATCCTGGACTTGGATTTGCTGCTTTGCATAGGCATTATGCATTAGCAAATTCATACAGAATTAAAGAAGAACCATCTGATAATGATCTTTTAACTCTTCAAGAACTTCTCTCGTGATCTTTATATGTCGATAAAAAATTTTTCAAAAAAAGATATTTTGCTTTATGTATTGATACAATACGCACATTTCATTATTATCAAACATTAATCTAAATTATAAAAATATTTACAAAAAATTGAAAAATCTTTAAAACTAGCAATATTCGTTCTAAAAATCACTTTATATTATTTATTAAACTACAATATATAAAGCAATTTATTCTTTATAAATATTTTTCTATTTTATTGAAATAATGTATAAATAAAGTTGCGATAAGTAACATAAAAATTATTTACGAAACAAATACTTTGTAAATATTTTCTTGATATACATATTATAATTTTAACTATACTATATCACTGCAAAATATATTTTAAATAAATTTTACTTAAATGTCAACAATAATATACAATTAATATGCACATGTATCATAAAAATATTTCTCTTCTACTATTTCATGTATATAATTAAATGTTTTAGTTGTAAATATTTTGCAATAAATATTATCACATAGTATTTATGAGTTTTAAAGTTGACTAGTTACAATATCATAGCGATATAAAATAATAAAATATCAAATATAATTATTGAATTGATTACAAAATATATATTGAAATGATATTTGTTTCTATTTTTTTTTTTTGTTCCTTACGTTTACATTTATTTTCTTAGAAGTAGCAATATATAAATTACTAAAATATCTATCATTAATGATAAGTTTATTATATTGTATAAAGTAACATATACTTTGACAAATTTGGATAAAAATTAAAAATTGAATACATAAACATATGTACATATACATATATATATATGTACATATATATGTATATATATATATTAACTTAATTCAAAAATTATTTTTAGTTGTGCAAATTTTTAGGCAACGCTATTTGATTTTTTTTAGTTGTATAATTTATAAAAGATATTAGGAATTTTTTTTATATGCGCAATTATTCTATTAAAGCATATTATTTTTATCATGTTTTAATAGTAATAATAAAAATGTATAAAACTTTAAGTTATTTTAATTTCTTGCAATACAATAAGAAATATCTATAACTAATTTTTCAAATATTACCAAATTTATAAATTTCTTACTGTGTGTATCTTCAATAACTTTTACTTATAGATATAATGCATTTACAAATACTTTTCTTTATTTTAATTCATTTTTGCATATTTATGAATTTATCTATTTTTATAAATACTACTATTAAAACATAAGTTATGTCTTAAATTTCAATTATATTATTATAGAAAATGAAAATTTTCTTTTCAATTTGATTATATAAAAGTTAACACAAGAAAATTAATTAAGCATATACTTCATCAAAATTAATAAAATTTATATGAAAACCTGAAAAGTCGGTTTATTGCTATATATTTAATATTTTAAAGAAGTTTATTATGATCTTTCATGTCACCGTCTATTCGTTGGTCCAATTGTTTTATTGAAAAGAGTATTTGCAATAGCAATTACCGGTGAAAATAATTTTAATGGACAATCACTGAAACAAAAAATAAATATTCATATATAGTTTAATAGAATATATAATTTTCAAAGATACATACCATACTCCAGTCACAGGTACTGCTTCATTTCCACTTACAATAAATAATGGGAACAATATAGAAAAAACACAGCCACTAAAATAATAATAGATTAATTAGTAATATTCCTGCATAGGAAACAATATTTAAAGAAATCAATTACCTTATTACATACGAACTGGGCAGTTGGGTAAGTACTGCTAATGGCAGACCAAAACCCACAAAATATGGCCAATTACTTTCAATAAAACTTAATCGTCTATGTAGCTCCCAACCCATATTGAACCATTTGTATTCAAAAGCATAGAGAGCATATAAAAGGCACATATGTATAAGGGCAAGAATGTCACCTACAAGAGGTAATGGAATCCTGGATACCAACATTCCTTGACCCAAAAATAATGCTTGAACCAATATACTGAAAAGCGTGTCTGCTACGAGCTTGCTCACACTAGATAAAAGTAATGGCCTTCCTTGCCTATACCTATAAGCACTGTCCGCTATGTCCTACATGGTTTACAAATATAGCATGTGATATTAACCCCTTCAATGGTTACTGGCCAAAGCTTCTCGTTCTGAGATCAAATAACTCATACCTGAAACCATAAACTGTTGACTATCCTACTGAGCACAAATAGTGGTAGTACCCATACAGTGCCAAAAGTTAATGACAGAAATGGTTTCATCCAAGACCACACAGTCATACCCATACCCGGTGAATGACCAAATATAATGGTCAATAAGTACTTGAGAAATGGAAGTAAACCACATTCAAAAATTAATATGCTGACCCAAAATACACCACCATTTAAAGCACAACATTGAATTGTTCTTTTTAACACTTTTGATTCTCTGAAAATGCATTATAATATACTCATAAAGATATATATATATATATAAGATATAAAATATTAAAATTTTGATATATAATTTTATTATATAATTTAACTATATACCTTAAATGATTAAAATGCTTTGGAGGATGAGGTATGACTGCTATGTCTTTTCCATGACTTTCTGTTTTATTTAAGGGTGGTTTAGATAATTTTTCATTAATTCGTTTGTCCATATAAAATAAGACAATAGCTCCTCTCAAACTATCCACAAATCCTCGATACATGGCATGTATTATTCCCTAAAAGGAAAAATAATTTCTTTTTAAAATTAATTTTAATTCTACTTTTATTTTATAAAAAATTTATATTATAAAAATATATAATAGAGAATATATTTAATTATAAAATCAAAAAAAAATAATTAAAAAAAAAAATTATAATAAAAATCTATTATTATATCAGATTATTATATATATTAGATATTATTATAGGTTAGGAAAATCATATTTTTGTATTTAAAATGAAATTTAATACTCACTGTCACGTTATCCATATTTCACGATAATAATCACAATAGAATATAATTAATCTATAATCTGAATATGTTGAATAATCTGCCAAAAAAACATTTTCGGAATAACATAATTGTCAATGGCAGTAATACAAAAACACATTAAAAGTGAATATGAGCAAAATATTTATGATATGGAAATAAATAAGTTTAGAAATAAGTTTTTTAATATCTCAAACACGTACATATTGTCATTCAATATTAATAAAAATATCTGATCGAATTAGAAATTTTTCTTTCAAAGCGCAAAAATATGCGCTGCCAAATAAATTAACGAAATTATTATTGCAACGTTTCGTAAAATTAAATTAAAAAATGACTTTACAAATATGTATCAACTGATTGCTTTTCATTGCAGGCAAAGGTTAACATTATGTTAATAGATATAAAGGTCACTAAGCAATGAATCTTTGATCTTTAATAAATCCACTAATAATTCAAACATATAAAAATATAAAGCATTTGAAGAATTGAAATAAATTTATTTATATTTATATATAAAAATTAATAATTATTTGTAATTGTATAATTATTTTTAAACAATACAATTTTAAAACATACACATGTATATACTATACATATATAGAAGTTCTTTACTTAATTCACACATATAATTTGTAAGAAGATAGATATAATACTGGCAGAAAATAGATGAAGCCAAGTTTTGCTCAACCTGAAATTTATATAATTTATTTACAAGCATTATTATTATTCTTATTAAAAAAGATATTTATCTTTAATAATTTTTGTTTATTATTATAAGTAAAATAATATTATAAAACGTACATATACATTTTATATTATATCGTTTTATATCGAATATAATAAATAAAACTAAATTTAATTAAATTTAAAAAATAATTATAAAAATATAAATATATTTACATAATTTATAAATATGATATTATTATTTACATATTTATATAAAAATATTTGATTCTTGATTTTTATAATTAAATAAATTTAAATAATTTTAATTTTATTTTATATATGATGTGAAGTTTATGTTAACTTTTTGCACAAGAAAGATAACAAATAAAAATATGCCGATCATTATATATAATTATAGTTAATTAATACAAATAAAAAAAAATAAAATGTTAAATATATTGGAACTTGAATTAAATGATCACTGCTACTACTTATAATTGATGTCAATCATTCTTTCATATTAATTATTATTATTGATTATTACTATTGATTAACAATAATTTGTATTTTAAAAGATATAACATATATAATAAAATATGAAAATTCGTTCAAAAAGTGGAATTTGTAAATCGCGCGATAATTTTGGAGTAACCTATTTAACTCAAAGTATGACTTAACCTCTAACTGCATTAATTTATTTATTTATTTACAATTTATCTATTAAATCAAATATTACTATAACATTAACTATTTTAATTAAACAAATATTTATGTTATTTTTATTTCATATTTATATTTAAATTAATTATATTATTGTATTAAATATGTTGTATTTATTTTTTTTATATATTTATCATAAAAGAATTAATTAATTAATTTTTTTCATTATTTCGTCCAAGCAAATTCTATGATAAGATTACGTGGTGGCAGAGATCATATTTGGATGCCTTTACATATGGTAAATTTTTCATTTAAAAAATTTTTCATTTTTTTAATTTGTCATTGTAAAAGAAAAATTAAATTCTGATTTATTAATTTCTTTGTTTCATACGATAAATTATAATTTAAAGGATTCAAGTACAACGAATGTAGCTTCTTTCAATGGAAAATTTCCAAAAAAAGTGTTTTATCCACTAAAAGATGTTCTTTTTCAAGAGAAGGTTTCAAATAAAATAAGTTTATTTTTAAATCTATATACAAATATTTTGCATTCATTTATTATTTCAGATTTTATTGAAAATTTACAGGAAAAAAGAAAATTAGAAAATAATAAAGTAAGCTTAATAATAAAATATACTATGTATATTATATTTATATTTATATAATATATTTTTTAACAATATATTTTTTAAATAATATTGAATATTATTTAAATCATTTAATTATTAAATCTATTTCTTTGAAATAACAGCATGATTCATATAAACCAATGGAAGTTAATAATAATAAAAAAAAAATAAAATATCTACCAATAAAATTTCAAAAATTAATGTTTTCAAGAAATAATGCAAAATCAAATTGTTATTTTATACGTAAGTTTTAATTTTATAATATATCAATTAATAATTTTAGACAATTATTAATTGTTTTTTAGTCATATGTTTAACATATGTTTAAAAGGATAAAATAGGATTTATCACAAATCCTTTTTGCTATAGAAAATATTGAAAAAAAAACTGATTCATCAAAGATATTAAATGTGAAAAGAAATACTAATTTTGAAGTAAGCATTTTTATTTTTATTTAAAAATAAATAAATATTATATATTACTATATATAAAGAATATTATTATTATATACTTTATTATTGTATTAAGAAATAATAATTATAAAAAATGTTATCATATTGAAATAATATTATTTATTATTATCGCACAGTAGAAAGTACTTGATGATTCAAAGGAGAAAACATTTCAATCAAATATCAAAAATATTTTGCCAGAAAAAAACAATATATTTGATAAAAAAAAATTTGAGAATATAAGTAGAGTTAGCATTCTTCTTTTGTATCTTCATTTCTTGCTTTGTTATTATCTTTCTTTTTCAAAGACAAGTCAATTTATTGAACTTTTTGAAATGTGTCCAGTTAAAGATAATGAAAATTAAATATATATTAAATGTATTTATAATTAAAAATAAAATGTTGAAAATTGTTAAAATATTGTTTCTTAAAATTTATAAAATATCTTTATCTTTGGAAGAGGAAGTTTACATAAAACTGAAGAGTTATATAATAATCATGCTAATATTTTTATTTAGTTTGAAAGATAAAATCACTTACTGTTGCAATATTAAACAAATAATAAGTAATCATACATATATTTAGTAATGTTAAAAATGTTGTAAATATCAAAATAAATGTAATAATAATCCTCAGTGACATTAGACATCAATTATATTACTTTTATTCAGCTTCTACTGTTACCTCCAATGTCACAGTAGCAAATTCAGTGTCACTTTCCTTCATTTCGCATACAGTTTTGTAATTTCCAGGATTCATACTGTTGAACATCGAGCTTATATCGCAATCTGAAGCATTTTGTTCACCCTATTCGATAATTCATTATTTTAATAATAATGTATTAATATTAATGAAAGAAAATTCAAATATAATAACAATATATATCAATATTAATTATTTTTGATCGAAAATAATATATTGTTAATAGGGACTAATAGGATTAATTATAATTAATTAATTAACAATAATAGTAATAATAATTTACCGAAAGAATTATCTATTTTCTTTTTCTATGTGTTTTAATATTTCGATTAAAAAAAAAAAGAAATATTTTATATTGTATATGTTTTATTACCGGTGCAGCAGAACATCCATCATCTTCATCTATATATTCAACTGATGCGCAAAAATTAGCATTTTCCAAATCCTTGAACGGTTTTTCTGACTGCTTTGTCATTTGGCTTACCAATTGATCATCTTGATATATTTTGATATCCACCTGAAAAAAGCAGAAAAATATTATTTTATTCTAGTTCAATCAATAAATTCTGTAAAAAGATTAAAAAATATCTAATTTTTTATGCAAAATTATTTATTTTTGGCATGTTGAAATATTTGAAAATAATATTTTAAAATATATTTAGATAGTATTTAAATAATGTATTTAATTAAGATTAAAATGTACTTCTAATATACTCGGACAATCCTTTTTTATCTTAGGTGTTGTATTAATGAGATTATTTGAAATACTAGCATCCCAAGATTGGAGTACATCTTCATTTGAGATATCGATTTTAATGCTATTTATTGTAACTTTGTTCTCTGCCTAAAAAATAAAAAATGATAATTGAATTAAAACATTGTATTTTTAACACTATTTGTTTATTATATTAAAATTTTTTTATATATTGAATTTTTATAATTAAAAAATTTAAAAAATAAAAATTTTTGAAATTATTTTTAATAATTGTCATTATAACTTTATGCAAAATATGTTTCAAGTAAATTTATAACAAAGATCTATTTTTATGATCTACTTTTAAAAGATATATTTTTTAAATGAAATTATTTTAAATATTATTTTATTTTATAATTGCATAAAATTTTACTTAAATAAGAAAAAAGAATTAAAAATAATTAAAATCAATTAATAAATATAACTTTAAAGTTGATAAGAAATATATACGATTTTTTTTATATAATATAATAAATATATGCAATAGTTTCAAAGAGAAATAAAATAGTTGCAAAAGTGTATAATACTCTATATATAAGTCACCCTATCTATCTTACCTTAACGTTCAGTATATATGAAGATGAAATGATACATAAAACAAATATTAATAATAGTTTTTCAATTGGTGACTTCATGATTGTAACAGAAAACATTAAACAATTGTTATAAAAACAACTTTGCTCTTCAACTGATGTACGGATCATATTTAAAGCTATAAAAGACTTCCTGTATACTACAATATGCTTCCTGTATATCATCATTATAATTAGTTGTTTTGAAATAATAATCAATTAACAATCCTATCCTTTTGTTATTATAACTAAAATGAAATAAGATATGATTGCGTAACATTTAATCATTTATCGAGCACAAAATTGTGGGAAATAAAATTCAATGTGCAAGAAAAATTGTCTATAATATAGGAAAATGAGAAATATAAACAAGATATCATCTATTTTCGTGCTTGTTATTTAACCAGATTATCAAAAGCAATCTCTAGAAAATTACATAATAAATTAGTATGTTAGTATTTCATTTTTTCTAATTTAAGATTAAGTAACAATAAAATAGATATATTATTATATGACAGAATTCAACAATTACAAGTTTTAATTACATCATATGACCAGAAATATATAGTAATTTAAATTAAAATATAATTTATAATATTATAAATAATATATAAAATATGTGAATTTATTTTATTCTTTTTTTTTCGTGTTTTTTTTCTTTATAATCTTTTACAAAAAAATAAGTTGATATTAAAAGATAACAATAAAACATTTATTTACTTTGTTTAATAAATATATTAAATACAAATTGTTTTGCATTTTTTCTCTATTAATATATTGTATATAATAATTTATGTTAATGAATTAAAAATAGAATAAAGATAAAGAAATTTATTATAGAATAAATATTTTTGCTTAATACAAATATTACAAATATAAAGAAGTAAAGTAATAAAAAACATTATTACATAAAATTGAAAATATTTTGAAATTATGGATTTCCCGCATTTGAAATTGAAACCTCGACAAAATCGACTAGTATCGAATATCATCGATCGGCCAGTATTCGATACGGAGTCTAATTTGTATGTATGCCGCACATGGTTTATTGTGGCGCAAATGTATATAAGTTTCCCGAATTAGTAGTGTCTTTAAAGATAATACTGTTATGTTATAAAACCAATAAGAAATGTTGCATGTTTTAGCAGTGCAACAACTTTATAGTGATTTGCTTATAGAAAAGTGGGCATAATCAATTGTAGATGCCGGTTTGTGCGATAAGATTGTTTTGTGTTTCTTGAAACGGGGGTGTGACAGTTTGTGCATTCTTAGAATATGGTATATTTTTTTTTCTTTCAAAATGAAACTGAATGTTATATAAGTTTTACCTTCTGATCGTTCGATGAACCCCAACGAATTACCACCACGCTAAATTTCAAAGAGCGTACATTGTACTTGAGAGTGTTTATTTTCCTTTACATGTGTCAACAATTCGGATTCAATCGAAAGTGTATAACATTGAATTTAATTACACAACTTATACGTTTTTTAAAAATTTGTGCCATATCTTGACGTGATGCGTTATTAAACGACATAAAAATACCAAAGTTACGAAAGCTATTTATAGGTTATAAAATTATATGTGTGCTGTTGTCAATAGCGGCAACGGCGAATCATCAAGTAATATTTAATGCAAACCCCATGCATTGGCTTCAAGCAACAAATATACGCGAAGAAATGCCTTTAAGCCAATTAAATCAAAGTAATTTCGTTAGTACGAACGAAAGTGTAAATCCTGGCACTGAAATAGCATCAACTTGTTATACTCCTCCACCTTCATACCATAATATTAATTTACCTCTGGGACACCCATCTACTTTGAGTAATGATTGTGGTGCACCTCCTTCTTATGAAGAAGCCATAGATCCAAATGGTAAATAATATTTTTAATAAAAAAAATCTTAATTTTATTAGAAATTATCAACTCATTAATCAAATGAAAATATTAGCTATATATAATATTATTGTTCTTTTCTGTTTAGCTCCTCCTCCATCCTATGATTCATTATTTGGTCGTATGAGGGAAGCACATAAAGTTTCAAAAGGAGTATTTGATTTTTTGAAAAATATTATCGTCTTACTTTTAGGCACTAGTAAGTAAAAACATAAATTAATGCTTTATTTAAATATAAAGAATTATTAATTTAATATTTTGGTAATTTCAGTTGGATGTACTATTATCTTAGGAGTAACAATAGTAGTTCCAATATGTATGATGGTCATTGGAGGACTTTATCTTTATGATTGTCCACAAGGAGAATATATTCCTGTTTATTTATTAGTAGGTGGTGGTTTTGGTGTTTTTAAACAGTTATTACATTTATCTGCAAGAGTACGGCAACGTCAAGAAGAAAGAGATGAAGAAAGAATACGACAATCTCCAACACAAACA